GGTGTGTCTATGATCTGAGAAAGTGCGATTAAAAATGTCTATGTTATGGGAAAGTGCAAGTGAATGTGTCTATGATATGAGAAAGTGCGATTAAAAATGTCTATGTTATGAGAAAGTGCAAGTGAATGTGTCTGTGGTCTGAGAAAGTGCGAGTATAAGCGTCTGTGTATTGAGAAAGTGCGAGTGAATGTGTCTGTGGTCTGAGAAAGTGCGAGTATAAGCGTCTGTGTATTGAGAAAGTGCGAGTATAGAGGCCCGATGGCCGTGGTAACCCTAAGCAAATAATTTGTCAAAGTGTGAGTAAATATGTCTACGATCTAAGAAAGTGCAAGTAACTGTGTCTACGATCTGAGAAAGTGCGAGTAAATATGTCAATGATCTGAGAAAGTGCGAGTAGAAGTGTCTATGTTCTGAGAAAGTACAAGTAGAAGTGTCTATGGCCTGAGAAAGTGCGAGTAGAAGTGTCTATGATCTGAGAAAGTGGGAGTAGAAGTGTCTATTTCCAAGAAAGTGCAAGTAGAAGTGTCTATGAAATGAGAAAGTGCGAGTATAAGTGTCTATGATATGAGAAAGTGCGAGTAGGGGTGTCTAGGATGTAAGAACGTGCGAGTAGGAGTGTCTATGATGTAAGAACGTGCGAGTAGAAGTGTCTATGTTCTGAGAAAGTGCGAGTAGAAGTGTCTATGATCTGAGAAATTGCGAGTAGAAGTGAATTCCAACAGCCTTAAAAAAAAAAAATCATCAGTCTTAATAGTGCTCTTGACAGGGCTCATCAACGAATGTTACATCCCCCCCCCCTCCCCCCGACACTTCACTGAGGTACAAGGTGGACGAGAAGAAGCCCTGTTTGTGTTAACACTTATGACGGTTGCCTTATGCATTTACTGCCTGTGTATGCTACTGACTCTGATGAGACTGTAGTCTGTCAGTGTTTTTAAAAAGGAAATTGACACTATGAAGTGGGAACTCCAGCTGTCATTATTATTGCAGTCAAACTTGGAACTCCAGCTGCCATTACTATCGCAGTCAAACGTGGGACTTCAACTGCCATTACTTTTGCAGTCAAATGTGTCTCTTCAAATGCCATTACTATTGCAGTCAAATTTGGAACTCCGTCTGCCATTACTATTGCAGTCAAACTTTGAACTCCAGCTGCCATTACTATTGCAGTCAAACTTGGAACTCCAGCTGCCATTACTATTGCAGTCAAATGTGTATCTTCAAATGCCATTACTATTGCAGTCAAATTTGGAACTCCGTCTGCCATTACTATTGCAGTCAAACTTTGAACTCCAGCTGCCATTACTATTGCAGTCAAACTTGGATCTTCAGCTGCCATTACTATTGCAGTCAAACTTGGATCTTCAGCAGCCATTACTATTGCAGTCAAACTTGGATCTTCAGCTGCCATTACTATTGCAGTCAAACTTGGATCTTCAACTACCATTACTATTGCAGTCAAACTTGGAACTTCAGCTGCCATTACTATTGCATTCAAACTTGGAACTTCAGCTGCCATTACTATTGCAGTCAAACTTGGAACTTCAGCTGCCATTACTTCTTCTTCTTCTTTTGTCAAAATCTGCTTGTGCCGCTAGGCGTCGCAGTCTATCAGATGATCGGCAACCGAGCCAGGGCGCGCTCAGTCGCTTCATATGCCGTGATGTTATGAAGTCTCAAGTTGTCTGTGACTCCTTCAATCCATCTTCTTCTTGGTCTTCCCCTGCCTCTTGGTGTTTCGATTTTCATGTTGTATGCTCTTGATGCTGGCATTGTTGGTTCCATTCTCATTAGGTGACCAAACCATTTCATTCTTTGCTTCTAAATAAATTTAACGATGGTTATGGTTCCAATAGTTCTTGTAATCACATCGTTTCTCACTCTATCTCTTCAGGTTTTATTCGCTGCCATTCTCAAACATCTCATTTATGCCATTACTATTGCAGTCAAACTTGGATCTTCAGCTGCCATTACTATTGCAGTCAAACTTGGATCTTCAGCTGTCATTACTATTGCAGTCAAACTTGGATCTTCAGCTGCCATTACTATTGCAGTCAAACTTGGATCTTCAACTACCATTACTATTGCAGTCAAACTTGGAACTTCTGCTACCATTACTATTGCAGTCAAACTACTACTGGTACCATCGGCAGTGGAACTCTTTGCAGGATGCTAAAGACGAGGGCGGAGCGCTTATGGGAATACACCGAGTAGTGTAATGTGCGTTTCTAACTCAGTTCAGCGCAGATGTGATCTGAGAATGGCCAGCATGATGAGTGGGATCACTAGGAGCCAGTTCAGCGCAGATGTGATCTGAGAATGGCCAGCATGATGAGTGGGATCACCAGGAGCCAGTTAGTTGCAGATACTTTACATAACGTCGCGCTTTAGGTCAAACATTTGTTCGCATTTTGTGATTTTACTAAACAGTTTTGCGATCTGTCGTTTGCCATTGCTTATATTCAACTTTTCCAACTTACTTAGAGAAGAAATACAGTTTAGAATAGAAATGGATATGAAGTATATAATTACCTACACTGTGGAGGTGGAGGCGGTCTCTGCTGCCTTCCGCTGGATTGAGAATCAGTTGTACACACATACAGAGCATGTTGAGAAAAGTGAAAACAGGTTTGCTCCGTGCAAAGTGGCAAGCATCACTTCAGAGGTCCCGGGTAGTCAGCATTCTTCTGATATTTTCTCCAGGATACGCCGGTGTCTTGGGAAATGGGCAGGCAGATAGACAGGCTGGCTCTGCACCACTTAGTGGTGAATTTATGTATGACAAGTTAGATATTGTGAGGGTCGTTTGGGAGCGCGTGAACAGTGCGGAGGCACAAATAAATCAATACTGTCCAAAGAGAACGGCACTGCGAGGAGTTACTAGGGTACCTGGCCGACGCTCAACACTCACGAGAAGGATGGGACGGATATACAATCAGGCGGTTACTGGTACCATCGGAATTTGAACTCTTCACTTGCTGCTGAATATGGGTACTGATTACTTATGGGAGTGTCTGGGTGTTCTTAATTCAAGATTAAGGGACCTAAACAATCTGCTAACATCAAATGCCAAAAAGATCACAATATATAAAGGAGGTGTCTTAGTTTAGTGGTTCTCAACCTGTGGGTCGCGACCTTTTTTAATGGGTCAAACGACCCAATCGCAGGGTTCGCCAAAGACAATCGGAAAACACATATTTATTGAAGTTGTGAAGTAGCAACGAACAAAATTTTATGGCTGGAGTCACCACAAAATGATGCAATGTATTAAAGTGTCGCGGCAATAGGAATGTTGAGAATTACTGTCTTAGACAGTGCTACAGCCTCGAGCGTAACTGAAAGAGAGGCATTTTAGGCCTTATTACACATTTTTTTTAAACTCCTTCGTCGAATCTTTGCACCCATTAAAAATAAAAACAGCTAGGAACGTAGAGAGAAGCAGCAACGAAATGCATAATCTGTTTAAGTAATCATTGATCACTGGCATAGTGAGAGCTTACATATATATATATATAGGTATCCCGAAACCATAAGCTGTAAACCCTTTGGTACGGTACTATGGATATCGCAACCCGTCGGTCTTGATTCCATGATAGATAACGTCAATGTGGGAGAAATGTGTCTTTACTGCCTTCCCCCGGTTGCGAACCCGGATCTCTAATAAGTTAGGATTGTTGGGGAATATAGAGAGAATGTCAGACGACAGAGAGCAAAAAAATATGGTTGTCGAGAGACCTGAATGGTCGAAGACCACCAGTAAAACAAAGAAGACGGTTAAAAGATATTATCGAACAGACCTAAAAACACCTTGAGTCACCAACAGGATAAAGATGTCAGAGAGTAACTGACTCGCTTCGGATGTCCCGTTTTCAGTTCAAAATATTTAAGGGATGTCCCATTTCCAGCTCAAATCTTTTTTAAGGTATCCCGTTTTCAGCTCAAAATATTTGTGGGATGTCCCGTTTTCAGCTCAAAATATTTGATGGATGTTCCGTTTTCAGCTCAAAATATTGGATGGATGTTCCGTTTTCAGCTCAAAATATTGGATGGATGTTCCATTTTCAGCTCAAAATATTGGATGGATGTTCCGTTTTCAGATCAAAATATTTGATGGATGTTCCGTTTTTAGCTCCAGATATTATGGTCACCCTGTCCCTACAGCGAAAGCTGATTACATAAACATGCGTGCCTATCTTTGGGCTACGATGTCAGTCCATTATCTTGTTTGGTGTCGCCTCCTGGCAGCTTTTAACAACTGCACTTCAGTTCCAGTAGCGGCCGTTTACTGTGGGTAATGTTTCAGCGTTATCTAATTTTAATCAAATCATTGTGTGCGTAATCGTTTCGGTTATAATTGGCGGGTATATTTTTATTATTATTAAAAATGTTTCTCGGTCGGGTCAGAATAGATGGCTGTAACAATACAAGTAAAAGAAACGACAGAATAGATGGCAGAAACAAGACAAGTAAAAGGAATGACAGGATAGATGGTAGTGACAAGAAAAGTATAAGGAACGCTGATTCATACTGTAAAGTTATATCGATGCTTCAGGATGCAATTCAACGACAACGTTCAGGCCTGCTGAGTACTGCTCCCTCAGGACAATGCCAGACCAAATATGGTTAACTCGGGAGAAAATTAAACATCTAGGGTGGGAGCTTTGGCAACATCCACCTGGCCGCTCCGACTTAACCCTAGCAATTTTCACCTTTTTGGTCTACTAAAACTTACCTTGGCGGGAGACATTTTGCGAATGACCTAGAAGTTTAATGTGAAGTGAAAATATGGTTTAAAAAACAGAGCACGCAGCTCTACACAGTCTGTGTTGGAGGATGGATAAAACAATGTGACAAGTGCATTAATGTTGGTGGAAATTGTTTTGAAAGAAAATAAAGTGATAGTGTGTGTGTAGAAATAGTAATTATAATTTTTTTTTTTTTTTTGAAACAGCCATTTGTGACTTATTTATTGGCTTCCCCTCTTATTTTGCCGTTTGCAGCTTACAGAGATAGGTGTGGAATCTTTCACGATATCCTGAACCAGCACTGGCCGGCAGCACTCAACTGTTCTACTCTTCCAGACTCTCCAGACCCAAGTGTGTGTATCGGCTACCACGAGGCGCGGGAGCCGGAGATACATGGTAGGTTAGAGTTCGAGTCCACTTCTTCTGTGTACACAACAACCAGTTATTGCTACACTCTACTGATTACTGATTAAAAGAGCGACGTCATAGCACACCGAGCATATCAATAGGTGCTCCATCTTCCATCTTCCGGTCAAAAGGACGTTAGGCAGCGGCACTGTTCGAAACAGAGGCAAATTTGTTTGCTTCTGCCGGACGGTGGCCGATGCATTTTTGTTCCATTTGTAGACTGGATATAGTTTCGTCGCCCAGCTTTTGAGTTGAATGCATGGCGTGACACTGTGAGCTGCGGATTGCATTTGGAATATTTTTTCGACTGTGACCTACGTGTTGGTGTGAATTGAAGATTCAGAAAATGGCGCGATGCCTGTCGTGCAGTGTTGTGGTGCCAGTATATGATTAAAATTTATCGCGTGGGCAACTGCTGAGCTGTAGGCGACTTCTGCTACCATCAATGATGAACTGCAATTCTAATACTGTGATAAACATTCTGTGTTTTTCGTTGGCACAGGAGCGGAGCAAAGATGGGGTGACCCGTTTGCTATGAAGCTGAAACTAAGACTACAGACTACCACAGCAAATATGTGTGGATGCTAACTCTTCCCGTTGCACACCCATTATGAACTGGCCGTTCCTTTTGTGTCAAACATCTCTCCTTGCCTGATCGACATATAATTCCTCGTCCACCTTTTCCTACATATGTTTTTTCTTTATCTAACATCATGTCTTACTTTAGGATTCGTTCATAAATGATTTTCAGAATGTCTAGCTCGAGTGTTCCTATAGCTATCGCTTTTGTTCCTAAAAATCCGCTTTATCATTTCCTTGCACTCTTGCATACCCAGAAAGTATATCCACGTGAGTCCTTGTAATGTTGGCACACTGATGTTTGGTATCCTCATGACACTCTATATGTCCATTTTTGAAGTTTCCACAATAACGACTGACAATCAGTCACTATAATTCTCCTAGTAACACCTTTTTTTTTTTTTTTTATATCCACCTAAGAGCTGCAGTGACTGCCTCCACCTCCATTTTCGTGTTTGAAGTTGTAAAGTACACTCTTCTACAACAAGGAACATTTTTCACCCTTAACTGCCGTAAGGTTATGTACAATGATCCTAAATGGCCGAATCAAAAGGGTGGAAGACAGTGGGGTCTTTTTGTAACCGTAAAAGATGGATATTTTCATCTCCTTATTATGACTAGGTATACCAGAGGGTAAAACCAGAAGTTTTCCCTGTCAGGATTTTCGGCGGTGCTACAGAGGTCGTGCATCTGCGAAACTATCCGTGAGTTTTGTCTTTCAGAGCGTGTGGTGATTATTTGAGGCGGTCGGCACTCACATACATCAGTTTCATATTTGTGCCAGGGCACGCGGGCGTGCAAGAAAATAAGCAAGCTGATAGGCTTGCAGTAATACTACTGTTGAGGACAGACGAGCCATGGACCAATACAGATACACTAAATGCTCTACGAGAAGTAAGACATTAGTTAGAAAAAAAAAGTAATGGCTGTGAATTTGCAACAGTGACTAGACTGTAAGAATAACATTTTAAAAAGGGTGTGACCAGACAAGAGCACTATGCGGGAAGCCCAAGTAGACGAAGAAATCAACACAGAAGAGTTCCACTGCTGATGTTTAATGAAGATAATCTGTGGACTAACAATAATCACAATCCCTACTACTACTACTACTAATACTGCTGCTCCTCCTACTTCTACTACTTCAGCATCATCCTGTGCTGTCTGGAGTGGGCGATCATGCCTCTCCACGTTCTGCGATTTTCACCAGCATATATAACTTCATCTGCTGACGTCCATCCATGACATGACCAAAGGCTGTCAAGAATCTAAGAGTGCTTTCCTCTGTCTTGTTTTCCAAATTGATCCTTGCAGTGTTAACAACATGTTCCAGGTTCCTTCTTTTCGTACTATAACCAAAACGTGATGACTGTTTCTTTCTGACGTTAGTGATGACAAGTCGCCTTTGAGTCCTCGACTCTTTCAAAGCATCAGGGTTACTCTTTTTGGCTGTCCAAGAAAATCTATGGTTCGTTCAACATCTTGTGAACACACTTGCAAGCCATTTCTCGAAAAGTGCCTGTTGGATAGCAACGCTTTTTTTTCCCCCTTAGAATATCCATGACTCAAAAATGTCCATAGATGCTTAGGATGCTAAAAACCAGCCAGTTCTTTTGATATTTTCAAACCATTGTAAATAAGTGGAGTTAACTTTTACATTTTACAGTAAAAATTTGAATTTCCAGGTTTTTTTTTTTGGGGGGGGGGGGGCGGGTGGGTCGAGGGGTGTCTTCATAATACACTGATAGGTGAAGCAAATTTATTTGTTGTCATTTATGCTCAGCCACTGAGCTGAGATAAGCTATGTCAAGAAAGACATCACAGCACTCGGGGCATTCCCATAGTCACTCCGTCCCCATCTTCAGCAGCCAGCACAGAGTTCCAACACTAATGGGAACAGGCGCAGTCTGATTATATGTCCATCTTGCCATTCTTCTGAGAGTAGTGTGCCGGCTAGGTCCTCTGGTCACACCCAGGTGTATCATTCTTTCCAGGCCATGATAATATATTTTCTTTACGGACTTCATTACTTGTTCCCAAAGGGCCTTGACCACATCAACCTTGTCAATAGGAATCAACTCACCCCCTGGTGGTGAAGCTCCAGCCAATCTGTCTGCCTTGTTCAATTGTAATCATGTCCCCAATACGCAACAGCTAGTATTCCCCTTCAGTCACCATTAGACCCCACGGTGTATCTTAACTGCACAGTAAACTGTATTATGGTTGACACGTCTGGATATGGAGATGTATTTTTTGCAATTTTAGATGTACCTGACGGGTAGCACTCATCATGAAAATGGTTTTAACAATTCCGAATCTGACGATTCCAAAAGGTTGATAATTGTTACTGGCTGAACAAATTGTAATCTATCTCGGTGTCAGTACTCGTCTTCCTCTCAGAGCACATGTTCAACACACTTTTTCCAGAAATGAATGTCTATTTTTAGAAGACTTTTTTATATGGCAGTACTGTATTGTGAGTCCAGAAAGCAATGGCAAACTACTGGACGTAAATTTGCCTAGAAAAAAGTCCTGTAAAGGATACGTAACTAACCTCGTATTGTGAATTCAGTATCAATGTCAGTTGATTTGTCTCTAACAGTTTTAAGATCTCACGTCTAATGACATCTACATCAAAGTCGTCAACTTTCCTTTTCTTTTCTTGCTTGACATGAGTGTATTCTGTGCTGTCTAATCCAACGGTTAAATGATGCTCTATCCAGATCAAGCACCAATCGTGCTCGTTTCTCTGGATCATTAATGTAACAATATAAAGGACCCATCTTAGATTCCCTGAGGAAGTGCTGGTACAGTGAAACGGTTATACGTCTGCATCTTAAATTCATGTTCAGATGGATGTCTATATCAGCTATTATAAGCTATTGATATGACACAATATTTGTAGAGACGCCTTTGACCAAACAACCTTAAAACAAAGGGATTTTTTTTCTTTGCGCAAGGTCACTAAGAGTGCAACTTTACAGGAGAAAATCATGAAATTGCGTTAGTTTCCCTTGACCCCCTGTTAAACCAGTCATAGTGTGCATTACTTCCTTAAACTATTGAAAGTAAATCTTCCAAAAGTCTACCAAGGCGGTTTCATAATAAAAAATATGAATAGTAAAGAATGAAAAAAAAAATCTATACATATATATATATATATATATATATATATATATATATATATATATATATATTAGTGAAAAAATAGTTCCCTAACGTCATGTATATTCTAAGGCAATTGCATGCAAAACAAGACACACAAAAACATTGCGATACAACAGGCAGTTTTTTTAAAAAAATGACTTGCATGTATGTTTATCTATTGTTGAACGAACTATAATAAATTTCTATGTAAAACTAAATTTTGAAACCTAGAGAAATTGTTTCCCTTGTATACTAGATACAAACAAAATCAACAATTGATTAATGTGGTTGCTTGGAGTTGTCCCCACTTCGTCGTAATCATAGTATTTGTTGGTTTGTTAAGTTGCTGTCTTTTTTTTTTTTTTTTTCAATGTTATTGTATATAGATCTGTAATTTAAGAAAGAAAGAAAAAGACCATCCAGATTAACTTTTTGATAATCGTCTCCAGAATGTGGGCCTAAGGAAATCAAATGCGGAAAAGACCGCTGCATCAAGCCATCTTGGCTGTGCGATGGATTCCAAGATTGTGATGATAACTCGGATGAGAACAACTGTGGTAAGTTGGTTGCCTATTACAGAAGGTAGGGCCTAGTAAGCAAATCCCATCATCCTTTTGAGGGATGCAATTTTATCTTTATTGGAAGCACTACTCTGGCTCTTGCCAGGGGCCGCAATATAGCCCTGCCGTAAATATGGTCAAATGGCTGAACGCGGTTTCTGTGACCTCTCCACGAGTGATCCTCGTCCACAGGGTGGCACTTTGTGTCATCGGGTGTTTATCGCTTGTGTGATGTCCTGGCGGAGTAAAAGAAGATAGATGGATAGAGGTAGGGCCGGATTGATACTTAATGAGGCTTAAAGCTATACATAGCCCCAATGCCTTAACGTTTTAAATTACACCAGTGAAGCTCATACCAGAGACAACATTGCACATATAGATAATATATATCAAGCGAACAAATTAATAAAGAAGAAGACATTACACCAGCTAATCTTGAAAACTGTAAGAAAAAGTAAAGTAAAGATCGCTTTTTCCGCCTTTAGTCGCATTGGGCATATAGGAAGAGCACCAATATGTTTAGAGACCAATCGGCACTAGATGGGTAATGTGGTCAGCATTATGCCGGCCGGCTTTACTTCCACAAGACATACATCCTGGTATCCATGTTAGGCTCGGTCGACCTGCGAAGCCCCCTATCATGATAAAAACCCACGAATCCAGCAGTGGGTTTTGATCGCGGTACGTTGGAAATAGGAGTCGGACTCGCAAAACCTAAGCCACGGTCGCCGTTTGCTAACTATAGTGTGTAATTTTATGTATGTATGTATGTATGTATATATATATACACACACATACTTATATATATATATATATATATATATATATATATATATATATATATATATATATATATATATATATATATATGCACGCCTCTAAAGTTATGAGTAATGGAAATATCATCATCATCATAAACCACTTCTGCCGTTCCAGTGCACTGGTTATTGCTATGCCGTGAAGGCGTAGAGTGTCTTTAATGTTGTCGATCCATGATTTTCGCGGCCGTCCTCTTGCTCTTGTAGCTGATCTTCTGAGATGTAATGCTTGTGATGGTGTTTGATTTTGCGCCATTCTAACAAGATGGCCAAACCACTTAATCTGCTGTTTCTCGATGAATCTAGTACAAGGTGTCGTTCCCTCAATTTGCCTGATAGTTTTATTATTCACTCGATCTCAGATGGTAATGGAAATATATTCTCCTAATATTTGTATTTAAAGAAATAATCAAGAAAATGTTTAGCAAAAATGTATTATATAATTTTATAATAGGCTCTAAATGACAACTAAAAACATTTTCCCTCCTAATTTTCCAAATGCAAAATCATTGATTATTCATCAAAAGATGTACTGCATAACATACAGATCATGCTAATGACAGAAAATATTTCAAAGAAACGAAAATCTACATTTAAAATTATTAGAAACAAATATATGATAACATCAGATGGAAGATGAATTAAAGAAGTTAAATGTAGAATAGCTCAAGCAAAGGCTGCATTCTACAAAATGAAGAATATGTTATGCAATCTTTCCTTGTCAATAGAGACAAGAAAGAGAATTTTTAAAAGCTGCATAAACCATATCTTGATCTATGGAAGTGAATCATGGACAGTTGGTAAATTAGTGAAAACTTACTTGGAAGCTGCGGAGATGTGGTCTTAAAGACGAGTGATGAGTATACACTGAGAAGATAAAAAGAGTAACAAAGATGTCTTGAACAAAACTGACTTACAAAGAGTATTGTTTTGCTTACATTAGAAAGAGACAATCTACATTCTTTGGTCATGCGATGAGAAGGAGAAAACTGAAGTACACAGTGACAGTTGGAAAGTTGGAGGGGAGGAGAGGCAGGGGGAGACCGAGAGAAGAGATCCTGAACAGTCTGACGTCACGGCAGTTAGGTTCATCTGTGTCAGAGTTGACTGAAAGTACGCGAGACAGAAGGTGGCGGATAGACGTGACTATCAACACAACACGGCATGGACTTTAAGAAGAAGCTGTACCTTATTTAACTTATACCCACACCCAGCACTGGGCGTAGGTACACAAAAAGATGATTTATTTTAAGGATTTATAAAATGGCATCATCATCATCAGTATCATCATCATCAGCACAAAGTGCCTTACCAGCTGAACTCGGTCTTTTCTTTGGTATCCTGGACCACTTCCACTGATGATATTCCTTCATGCCACTGTCCTAAGCCATCCACCAATATTTCTCTTGGTCTGCCTCTGCCTCTTCTACCAGTGATCTTTCTAGTCATCACGATATTTTCCAGTCCTTACTTTTCTCATAACAAAATTACAGAACTTTGTCTTCTTCTCGTTGTTGGATATAATGTTCTACTATCCTTAACCATCTCCACGCAATCGCTGTTAATTATTCTGGCAGTCCGAGGTGTTTGTAAAATTCTTCTCAAGAACCACATCTCAGTTGCCTGTTGACTCTTCTTAATTAAGAAATAAACATAAAAATTGTTACTCTGGTTTAATTCTCTATGTGTGCCATTAAAAACAGTTACACGTAACTATCTAGGCAAGCGCGCTTCGGGTTGCTAACGCCTTCTTTAGAGTGTCCATTTCGTAAAAACCACTAGGAGTTTGGTGAACTATGTGTATGTAAATGGGAGAGTGTCAGCTTTTCCAGGCAGGGAACATAGCAAAGCCTACAAGAACCGGATCAATAAGATATTTTACATTGGAAACGTGTCCTTCTAAATGGATTTGGGTAAAGAGAAGACGGTCATGTCATTTGTGAATCTTTAACCATTTAAGACGGAAATTGTCTGCCCATTTATGCATATTACATACATACATACATACATACACATACACACACACACACACACGCATACACACACACACACACACACATATATATATATATATATATATATATATATATATATATATATATATATATATATATGTATATGTTATATATACAATATATATGAATATATATAAAGTAAAGGACCTTTTTCCACAACTTCAGTCTGATGAAGGGCTAGACTTATATTTTATAGACCACATGGCGCTTGATGGGTGATATGGCTAGCATCACACCGGCCGCCTTTACTTCCTAGGACTGCACCTGGTACTCACTGAAGAGTATGTGACAGACATCCACTCCCACTTGGACTTTACGGCCAACAAATGCTAGGTTGGTTTACAATGTTCTGCTAGGTTGGTTTACAATTGTCCTGCTAGGTTGGTTTACAATTGTCCTGCTAGATTGGTTTACAATTGTCCTGCTAGGTTGGTTTACAATTGCCCTGCTAGGTTGGTTTACAATTGTCCTGCTAGGTTGGTTTACAATTGTCCTGCTAGGTTGGTTTACAATGTTCTGCTAGGTTGGTTTACAATTGTCCTGCTAGGTTGGTTTACAATTGTCCTGCTAGGTTGGTTTACAATGTTCTGCTAGGTTGGTTTACAATTGTCCTGCTAGGTTGGTTTACAATGTTCTGCTAGGTTGGTTTACAATTGTCCTGCTAGGTTGGTTTACAATTGTCCTGCTAGGTTGGTTTACAATGTTCTGCTAGGTTGGTTTACAATGTTCTGCTAGGTTGGTTTACAATTGTCCTGCTAGGTTGGTTTACAATGTTCTGCTAGGTTGGTTTACAATGTTCTGCTAGGTTGGTTTACAATTGTCCTGCTAGGTTGGTTTACAATTGTCCTGCTAGGTTGGTTTACAATTGTCCTGCTAGGTTGGTTTACAATTGTCCTGCTAGGTTGGTTTACAATTGTCCTGCTAGGTTGGTTTACAATTGTCCTGCTAGGTTGGTTTACAATTGTCCTGCTAGGTTGGTTTACAATTGTCCTGCTAGGTTGGTTTACAATTGTCCTGTTAGGTTGGTTTACAATTGTCTTGCTAGGTTGGTTTACAATGTTCTGCTAGGTTGGTTTACAATTGTCCTGCAAAGAATGCACAACTAATTTCAACTCCACTAACTTACAGACTGCTGGTTTCATACCTCTAAGGCTGATGCGCTCCAAATTCGATGGAAACACCCCTAATTAGTTTACTCTGACGGCATGCTTGTTAAGGTTCAGGGGTCTATTCCTTTCTCCACCACAAAGGAGAAGCTGGAGTCCACACTAGGATATGTGTATTATATGAAGTCTGTACACACGTCTATGTGTAGCGTTGAGTGTGTCCACACTCGGATATGTGTATTATATGAAGTCTGTACACACGTCTATGTGTAGCGTTGAGTGTGTCCACACTAGGAAATGTGTAGTATATGGAGTCTGTACACACGTCTATGTGTAGCGTTGAGTGTGTCCACACTAGGATATGTATAGTATATGAAGTCTGTACACACGTCTATGTGTAGCGTTGAGTGTGTCCACACTAGGATATGTGTAGTATATGGAGTCTGTACACACGTCTATGTGTAGCGTTGAGTGTGTCCACACTAAGATATGTGTATTATATGAAGTCTGTACACACATCTATGTGTAGCGTTGAGTGTGTCCACACTAGGATATGTGTAGTATATGAAGTCTGTACACACGTCTATGTGTAGCGTTGAGTGTGTCCACACTAGGATATGTGTAGTATATGGAGTCTGTACACACGTCTATGTGTAGCGTTGAGTGTGTCCACACTATGATATGTGTATTATATGAAGTCTGTACACACATCTATGTGTAGCGTTGAGTGTGTCCACAATAGGATATGTGTAGTATATGGAGTCTGTACACACGTCTATGTGTAGCGTTGAGTGTGTCCACACTAGGATATGTGTATTATATTAAGTCTGTACACACGTCTATGTGTAGCGTTGAGTGTGTCCACACTAGGATATGTGTAGTATATGAAGTCTGTACACACGTCTATGTGTAGCGTTGAGTGTGTCCACACTAGGATATGTGTAGTATATGGAGTCTGTACACACGTCTATGTGTAGCGTTGAGTGTGTCCACACTAGGATATGTGTAGTATATGAAGTCTGTACACACATCTATGTGTAGCGTTGAGTGTGTCCACACTAGGATATGTGTAGTATATGGAGTCTGTACACACGTCTATGTGTAGCGTTGAGTGTGTCCTCACTAGGATATGTGTAGTATATGGAGTCTGTACACACAAGGATATGTGGAGTCTGCCAACACGAAGATATGTGTAGTATGTGGAGTCTATACACACGTCTATGTGTAGCGTTGAATGTGTCCACACTAGAATATGTGTACTATATGGAATCTGTCAACGCGAGGATATGTGTAGTATGTGGAGTCTATACACACGTCTATGTGTAGCGCCGAGTGTAATCAGACGTCTCTTACGTCCACACAGCCACGTGTGCCCCCGATGAACAGATGTGCTCGCCCGTCTCCAGTCTATGTATCCACAAGTCTCAGGGCTGTGACGGGGTCAACGACTGCTACATGGACGTCGATGAACATTTCTGTGGTAAGTTGTAATAGACGCTAGTTTTTTTGTCCCACTCTTTCTCTCCCAAGCAAAGCACAACTGTACCTCAATTCAAAACTTCAATTGCCGGACACTGCAGGCTCAATAACCACATACATAAAAAAAAAGACTTTACAATTCCCATAGTGTGCCTGTCAAATAGGACCACAAACATCTGAGCACATTCTGCAGACCTGCCCAGTCTACCTACAACTTCGAAGAGAAAACATGGCAAGCTACGGGGAATAATGAAGGACCTGCTACTGACAAGCGAGTTCATAGAGGCAACACACCTGATGGTCTGATCTGAGCATACGAAACCGATCGCAAAGAAGAAGAAGAAAACTTAAATTCAATTTTCAGACAAAAGAAATCTGGGAGTTCCTATGATAGTCCAATATTCTAGGGGTATTACGGGTTGAACCTGTCCTGCAGCGAATCTTGGAATGTCAAGTGAACAAATTAGGAAGAATTTCGAAGCAACAGAGATGTGGTTTCTGAGATGAATGTTACGAATACCTTGGACGGCCAGAGTAACTAACGATTGCTTGAAAGACGCTAATAAAAAGTAGATCTCTACAAAAATAAAAAAAGCGACAAACACTGTTCTTTGGCCACATAATGAGAAGATCGACATTGGAGAACATCGTGATAACTGGAAAGATCAGTGGAAAGGGGAGTAAAGGCAGACCAAGAGAGATATTGCTGGATGGGCTGAAACGATGGCATAGAGGGATATTATAAAGCGAACTGTTCCATGCAACCAGGGATCGAGATCTGTGGAGACGCATGAGCACCTACGCCAGCTGGCAGGGCACATGATGGTGATATGTTGAGTACTGACGGCATGTACAGGTTGAAAAAAAAGGAAAGTTAGGGATGACACCAGTTGAAGATGCTGTTGGGTCGATCGCCTCTGTCGAGCAAATACACAGGGGACAGGAATGGGTCGACATAACACCCACAACAGCCTATGCTCACCGGAACGGCATACGGCATTAAGAGTAACAGCTGTCTCCAAAACTAACGGAACAGCAGAACGGCAGCATTCTTTATTTTCACATCAGCTTGTTGTCGCCTATTGATCCGTGAGTAAAAAAAAAAAGTAAAGATCCCTTTTCACGCGTCCCATATTTTTACAGACCATCAGCACTCGGAGGGTAATGTGGTCAGCATTACGCCGGCTGTCTTTACTTTCCCATGACAGATCCGTGAGTGGAAGATTCAGATCCTAACTTAACCTTAGCTCCCCCCCCCCCCCCCCCCCCCCAAAAAAAAATATAGCTGCAATATACGCCCGAAGGCTTGGAAAAGGGTCACTCGAAGTTCGGTCACCAAACCGGTTAGCTCACTTGTGGGTAAACATTAGCGCTGGGTCAAACAAGTAGCTTAAACTGGACCTGTGTGCCGGGTCTCATGCGTGGCTCAGTGGATTCGTCGTTTGCCGGTTTACAAATACCCGAGTCTCTTCTTTACCCGCGATCGAAACCTACTCTAGTCTAATCATATATTTGTATTTGGGGGGAAAAAATCCGTGTGTTCAGCAAAAGTATTATTTCAGCAACAGCAAAACAAGTAATTATTACGTAAATAAGTATAAAATAATTAATATATTCGACTCTGGTAGTTGTCCAGTAGGCGGGGGGACCACACCAGCCTCTCTCCCAGAGGGTGGCGAAGTGTTTTCTTCTTTGTACGTCACCCTCTGGGATGATGCTGGAAACGGGGCACAAGTGAGGCTTTTGCTATTTTTTGTTTTAAATTTCTAATTTTATATAACCCATGTATATAATTTATAACTGAGATCAGAAACAGACAAAATATGAGGAACATCTTGTGCGATGTATCATTGTCATTGAGAGTTAAATAATTCTTGCTTGCTACATATGGCGGTGAATCCTGCACAATCGGTAGGCAGGCCAAACAATGAGAGATGTGGTTTTATAGAAGAATGCTTAGAATGCCTTGGACAAGAGGTTTTGAAAGAGGCGGAAACCCGAAGACAACTTATCACAGACATCAGAAGGACATTCATAATTTTTCGGATATGTTTTGAGAAGAGGGAAAATAGAACATGTTGTGACCTCTGGAAAGATCTGTGGAAGGAGGGATAGAGGAATATAACGAGAGAAGATTCTTGACAGTCTTGTTGCATGGAGGTGTGTCGGCACTCGAACTGATACATGCTGCAGAGGAGCAGATTGTGGAGAGGCGTGATCGCCGACGCCACTCGGCAAGGTACCTGATGATGATAATAATATAATTTATCTTGAGAAGTTTGTGTTTACTTCCATCGTCTCATTTCAAGTAATATCATGTATTTATTTGCATTCTAAGCACCAACAACATCCCCCACCATGGGCTGACAAATTTAGTGTGAGGTCAACATCCCCCACCAAGGGCTGACAAATTTAGTGTGAGGTCAACATCCCCCACCAAGGGCTGACAAATTTAGTGTGAGGTCAACAACATCCCCCACTAAGGGCTGACTAATTTAGTGTGAGGTCAACAACATCCCCCACCAAGGGCTGACCAATTTAGTGTGGGGTCAACAACATCCCCCACCAAGGGCTGACCAATTTAGTGTGAGGTCAACAACATCCCCCACCAAGGGCTGACTAATTTAGTGTGAGGTCAACAACATCCCCCACCAAGGGCTGACTAATTTAGTGTGAGGTCAACAACATCCCCCACCAAGGACTGACCAATTTAGTGTGAGGTCAACATCCCCCACCAATGGCTGACTAATTTAGTGTAAGGTCAACAACATCCCCCACCAAGGGCTGACTAATTTAGTGTAAGGTCAACAACATACCCCACCAAGAGCTGACCAATTTATAAACACACATCAGCCACATCATATTCCTAATTCCCTTTTTACTTTTTACAGTGTCATTATTATGCTGTTAAACTAGGATAATTTGTGTTATTTCTGTTTTATCATTTATACGTTGTACATCGTCATCAAGTGACCTGCCGTCTGGCATAGACGTCCTTGCATCTCCATAGTTCTGGGTCATTTGTATTCTGGATCAGTTCCCCCCGTCGTCGCAGTTCATCCATCTTCTCCCTTTTCCTCCCACCCTCCAAATCACATGACCAAAGACCACCCTGTCTTTTCCTTCTGGCTGTATATATATTGTACGCGCACACACAAAATAGTGACGGTGGTTGTAAACTCGAGGAGTTTACTGTTGTGTCCATTGTTTTACAGTTCGGATGGACAAGGAGTTTGACGATGATGTCCTTGAAGTATTCAACTCTGCTACCGCCAAGTGGGAAGCGGTGTGTAAGGAAGGATGGACGCCGGAGTTCTCTGACCTGACTTGCAGACAGCTTGGATACAAGTGAGTGCTTCAGTTTCAGTCATGTGGAAGAAGGGGCATGAGGGAGTTTCAAAGAGCGGGGGAGGGAGTCAAGCAGCTTTGATATTGGCTACATTTGTTCTTGTAATAATCTGGATTTTCAAGTTAAGTCCTGGGAAGTAAAGGCGAACAGTGTGATGTTGACCATAACACCCGCCGAGTGCCGATTCATCTATAAAATATAGGTTTAGCCCAAATGCCTAATACGCATGGGGCGTCAAAAAAAGTCCTTTACTGTACTTACGACACGTCCAATGTGTGGTGAACATGCCTTTACTGTATTCTTTCTGTCACATCATATCTTTCTTCGTTCTGTCACACCATATCTTTCTTCGTTCTGTCACACCATATCTTTCTTCGTTCTGTCACATCATATCTTTCTTCGTTCTGTCACATCATATCTTTCTTCGTTCTGTCACATCATATCTTTCTTCGTTCTGTCACATCATATCTTTCTTCGTTCTGTCACATCATATCTTTCTTCGTTCTGTCACATCGTGTAATTTTTTTTTTTTTTTTTTTGGGGGGGGGGGGGGGGGGGGGGGGGGGGGGGGGGAACCCATATCATTTCTTTCTTCTGTCTATCATGTATTTAGTGGTCACATTATTTCATTCTTCCTTTTGTAGTGTCTATCTTCTTTTATTTCTTTCTTCCTTTTGTCGTGTCTATGTTCTTTTATTTCTTTTTTCCTTTTGTCGTGTCTATATTCTATTATTTCTTTATTCCTTTTGTCGTGACTATCTTCATTCAACTCCATGTGATATCGTTTTGGAAACTATTTGAATGAAACTTGCAGGAGTGCCCTAACAACGGTGTATGTCCAGGAATCTTCACTGAACAAGTCTAAGATTTCTGAGCTCAGAAATGGTAGTGAGACAGACAAGCTGCAGAGCTACCTCCAGAAGGGGTAAGGGATGTGAAAGAGTGGAGTTCTAACTTAATCTGGACTTCCTGAATCAGGTCCTGACACACTCCTTCTTTCTACTTGTGTCTTGTGTCTTGTGTCTTGTGTCTTGCATAGAAGCAAAAACCCTGAGTTCTTATCTCCATACTTCACCCTTCCCCCCCCCCCCCCCCGTTATTTCTTTTGCTGTGCCGGACCTGTGCTAGTTCCCATCTGGGGTTTTTTTTTTCGCCGGCGCAGAATGCTTGCTGTTTCTGCAAATTCCATATGTCCCCTAGTGAAGCATAGACCTTCGACCAACTGTGTTCGTCTTGCCTTCCGTTGCCGCAGCTTTAAGCTCAAGGCCTGTCTTATTGTGTTTATCTGCGCCTTTAATTCTCTCTTAAACCCTACCCCCTTCCTCCCTCTCTCTCTCTCTCTCTCTCTCTCTCTCTCTCTCTCTCTCTCTCTGTATGCGCGCGCATGTATGTGTGTGTGTGTGTCCGTGCGTGTATGTGGTCTTCTTTATCTAGGTAGTAATTAGTCTTCCTCCTCTTCGCGCTGACCGGTTATTCATCCGACTCTGGTCTTCAGCCTTGTTCCAGAACATAAGTGATGCGTGCACATCCAGTTTACGTATCTGACTTATTTGTATGCAGACTGTTGGTTCCTTGCCTCTCAGACAGATGTACTCTGACTTCCAAGGAAACCACAAATTAATTCCTCTCTGACGATATGCTTTGGGGCTGTTCTTGTTTTCCCACAATAGGGCCCCTGTAACTCCTCTTCTTCTTCGTGTTCACGGGCTGTAAACTTTGGCCGAAAGTTCTGGTTATTCAGCCACTTCTGGACTTCAGCCTTGTTTGTGAACTTTAGTTTAGTGTGCACATCCGTTTTACCTCTCTGGCTTTATTTGTATGCAGACATTTGGTTTCTAGCCTCTGAGGCAGATTCAGTTCGACTTTCAAGTGAAGACCCCCAATTAGTCGACTCTTACGACCTGCTGGAGCTGCGTTAGCACAGTTGATAGGAGACTCGCTTTCAAATCCAGCTGCGGCTCGTTGCAGCCACGGTCGGTGTTCGAAACCGGGCTGTTCCCGGGGTTCACCCAGCCTCTAGGAGATGGGTACCAGAATTTACACTGCAGGGTGAATGGAGGAACGTCGTTGTAGCTACGGAGTTATAAGTGGACGGCGACACAGGCGGACAGTTTCTTATCAGCTGTTCGTACTGGTGGCAGAACACTTATGGTTTATAGCCGTGTGTAATGACGCTAGCTCACATCTCCCGACTTTACCTTAGGATCTGCTTTTCAGAGGCATCCAGATTCTTGGAACCCACATGATTCAGGGAAAGGGGAGGGGGTGTGGGGAGTGGTTAGTTAGTTAGTTAGTTAGTTAGTCTTTCCTCTTGTGTCGAGTGCGTCACATAGGTCAGAGGTCATGACTCTCCATGCATGGCGGTTCGTTGCAAGCTGTTGTAGGTCTTGGATGTTTGAGTGGCCCATGAGCGAGCCTTCCCTGATGATAGTTCTACGTAGGGTTTCCCTTGGTCTTCCACGAGATCTTTTCCCCTGTGGTGTCCAAATGAGGGCATGATGGAGAGTGGTGGGTCAGTATTTATGATAAGTCCGCGTCTTCGGTGTTGCGTACACAGCTGTAAATTCGAGGATACCGGGTTCGATGCTTTCAGCTGTGGGCAGTTTGACAGCAGACCTCCTTGTGTCGATTTCGACAATGGTATCGGAAGCCGGTCGTCAAAGGGCAATGCCTTAATAGCGAATGTTAAATTAACACAAACAGCCCTGCCTTCACTGAAATGCTACAACGCTCTGAACGGGTTAAAAAGGACACGTTTTAAGATGCGCCCCCCCCCCCCTCCCCCCGCCCCCGCACCAAATGTTTAATTTATCTTCGGTTTGAACAAGTCGTTAACTCGTACTTGGACTTTGGACTAGAATTGCAGTATCGACACTGGTATCGAGAGCGGTCTGTTAAGTGGTAGTGGCCATCTAATTTGCGTATCCTTTACAGGACGTTGCAGAACCAACTCCAGCACTTTTATGCTGTTTTGGGGTGTTTTTTTCTACGCAAATTTACGTCCAGTAGTTTGCCATTGCTTTCTGGACGGTCGGTTTCTCGATGCCACTGTCGAAACCAAAGCAAGGCGCAGGACCCGCAGCTTTGATCGAATCCGGCACCCTGGTATTACGAAGCGCGTTCGCTACGCCTTAGCCACAGACGCCGACAGTGGCCATCTGGTCAGTTTACAGGACGTTGCAGAACCAACCCGAGCAGCCCCTGGCTGTTGTGTAGTTTCTCTAGGCAAATTTACGTCCAGTAGTTTGACATTGCAGCTGGACGGTCGGCTTTCTTGATACCACTGTTGAAACCAACGCAAGGCGCATGGCCCGCAGCTGGGATCGAACCCGGCAACCCGGCATTAGGAAGCGTTCGCATCGACTTAGCCACAGAGCCGACAGTGGCCAAGTACTGAACCTTAAATTATCACAAACAATTCCCACCCCAGCTCCCCCCCCCCCCGCCCCACCCCTAACCACTTCATTTATGTTCTATTTCAACAAGACATTAATTAACTTGTACTTGGAAAATGGAATGGAAGTGGAATGTGGACTGAAAGTGGGGGTATCAATACCAGCGGTTATCAACCTATGGGTCGCGACCCTTTTAGGGGTTTAACGACCCTTTAACATGGGTCGCATAAGACGATTGGAAAACACATATTCACGGAAGTTATAAAATTGCAGCAAAAATAATTATTTTATGGTTGGGGGTCGCCTCAACATGAGGAATCGTATGAAAGGGTCGCAGCTTAAGGAAATTTGAGAACCACTGAGCAACACAGACTTCACCCCGACAGCTACAAGTTGTCCAAAGCCAGGAAGGTCTGAACGCCAATCCCTGAGATTTAACGGAAGTTAACATCTAGTCTCCCAGACGATTGGCCAAACAACTGATCACCGCAACAATTTTCTTACAGCACTTGTGTCTGACTTGCTGGCAGCATTAACCTGATACTGGGAGTTGTGTGAGGATTACCATGAAATGAAAAGCAACGAAGTGTTAGGGGGAAAGCAAGCGTGTGTGCGTGTTTCTGTGTGCGTGTAAGGATCTTATATGTAAAAAGAAAAGGACCCTTTTCCACGCCTTTAGGCGTATTGGGCACATAGGGCTAGATTTATATTTTCTAGACTAATCGGCACTTGGTGGGTGACGTAGACAGCATCACGCCGGTCGCCTTTACTTCCTAGTGCTTGTACTTGGTACCCACTCAAGGCTGGGTCGACCTGTGAGTCAGTATCTTTTTTAAAGAACAAAAGTCCGGACCCGAAGCCACGACCTTCCATCTCTTGTCTGCTCTTTCCTTCGCTCTGTGTTCATTATATTTCCTTAGTTTCACTCTACAGCAGGTGGTACTGTGGCAGTCTAGTCAAACCATCCCATGCTGTTCTTTGGTGAATTATATAAATTTAATTAAATAATATTCTGTAGCAAAGAAAATGTGAGTTACTAACACTTCGTGAGAGTAATCTTCCTTTACTGTTATAGCTATAGTATGGTCCAAAAGTCGTGCTAAGGTGTAAAATCTGTGAGTCAGTAACCGTTTGGTGTAAATTGTTGCAATTTGGCATGCAGTTTGGTAATAAACATGTCCTTGCAGGAAAATAACTATAACGCCTTATGTTCGCTGTCTATGGTTAAACAAAATAAATTGGCAGTAAAACGTCACACTGTCTGTGTTTTATGTGCAATTTGTGCGCAAAACTATTTTGAATAGTGAAGTTGATACGTCATACACTACAATGATGCATTTTACTGACTCATAAAAAGTACACAGTTTATGTCAATTACCTTATAATATTTATAGGTACATAAATTAAAAATCTGACAGAGCTCAAAGGGATTTGCCGCTGTAAGAAAACAGCAGCACATGTACAACTGTAAATTATGAAATAATAAGGACATGGGAAGTCTTAGATCACAAGGAAAAATGTTTGTGAGATATTTATTGTAGTTTGAGCGCACGACTTTTGAAACGTACTATAGCTTCTTTGTGGGTATAAATTAGACGCTGAAAATATGACTCAGGATAGTAGACTCAGGGCTTATCCGATAAAAATGTATCCGAGAGACTAAGCCACAACCAGCATGGACTAATCAATCATGCATCAGGGACATCCTTGAAGATTGTCTAGGTTCTTCTAGTAAAGGACCTTTTTCCACTCGGTGGATGATGTGGTCACATCATGTCGACTGCCTTGCCTTCCCAGGATTTTACTTTGTACCCATTTTAGGCTAGGTCGGCGTGGAAGCCCATGTCAATTTTGAAGCGAAGAAGAATCTGGCTTCATGTGGATTTGAACCTACAATCTTCGGGTCCGATGCTAGCCTCGAGCCACTACACCACTATAGCGCCAAGGAACAAAAAAAATTTAAAATTGGACCATGGGGTCAACCCCAAAACCAGCGTGCGGGGACACTGAAGACCTCAGGTGCTCTTGTATGGTCAGCATCAGAAGTAACTACGATTTTGCTTTAACATATTGTAGAATTACCCGAACCCAGATTACAACCGATGTGCAACTTTTGTTTCAGTTTCTCTACATGTGCAAGTGGCTTTGTGGTCAGACTGGTTTGCTGGCAAGCGGGTAAGTCATATATCACTTGATGAAGCCTCTTCCTCCTTCTCTACCACATGTCCACATGATCTGTTGTCTTTTGGACTGGTTCAGTCACAAATTGTCATGTTTTGTTTCTTGTCATCGTTCTGCCGAGAAAGGCTAATTGTCAGAAACGTCCTTTATGTTTTATTTGCAACTGGTTCTGTAAAGCTGACATTTACCTTATGTTTTCACTATCGTTTCCTTTCCTTTCTTTCATGGCTCAGTACTCAAGGGAAAGGCGAGACGGGTATACAGTCAGACAGTTACTGGTGCCATTAAAATTGGAACTCTCTGTTTGCTGCTGCAGATAGGGACGGAGCGCTTATGGGGGGTGTCCCTAGTGCTATGATGTCGATTCCTAATTCCACATTCCTTTCTTTTTTTAATAGGGGGGGGGGGGGGGGGGTAATACATTTATGACTTCCATAGTTTTATTGCAGTCATATCATTTCGACTAAGCCCACCTAGACACTATTTGCCTGTCCTGTTGTTTCAGAATGTGGTACTCGACCGGCCTACTTCAGATCTGCCTTGCGAGTAGTCGGGGGAGACGAAGTCAAACCTGGAGCCTGGCCTTGGATGGCGGGTCTGCATGGAGGAAGCGGCGAGGCATTTTATTGTGGCGCCACAATTATTGACCCCCAGTGGATCTTGACTGCAGGGCATTGTGTTGGAGAAAAGTAAGTGTTACCACAATGCCTCTCAACCTTCCTAATACCCTTTAAAACAGTTCCCTCATGTTATGGCGGCCGCCAAACAATTATTTTCCTTTATAAACGGTACGTCACTAAAACTTTCAGAGGAAATAAGTGCACTAAACTCTCGGCGTTCTTGGGACAGAGTCCCTCTGTCAGCATGAACAATATGGGTGAAAGCCGAAAGGAAGCCCATGATGGGAAAACAAGTCTACTTGACGTCAAAACCAAATTAAGAATTGGCTTCTGGAATGTAAGAACCATGTTTGAAACGTTCAAAACCGCCCAAGTACCAGAGGAAAAGAGAAATAGGGGAGCGCCCAAAAACAACGTGATTACGTACGATGGAAAATGGCCTGAGGAAAACTGCAGTGAAGATTACACAGGACAGGGAAGCATGGAAAGTCCTCTCTGAAGCCTCATGTGCCACTGGGCATAAAGAGTTCTGATGATAATAATAACTTCAATGAATATGTGTTTTCTGATGGTCTTATGCGACCCTTGTGAATGGGGAGTTTGATCCACACACACACACAAAAAAGGCCGCAGCCGGCAGGTTGAGAATCTCTGTATTAGTTGAACGAGTGGGTGTCAGTTAGTGAACGGCCTGCGCTCTATTGGGGAATAAAAGGCAGAAGAAGAATAAAGTTATACTTCCCGTCCTTTTTAGGATGCAATTTTTCCTTATTTGAAGCCCTACTCTGGCTTTTTCCAGGGGCCGCAATATAGCCTGGTCGTAAATATGGCCTAAGGCTGAACGCGGTTTCTGGGAGCTCTCCACGGTGATCCTCACCCACGTGGTGGCACATTGTGTCATCGGGTGTTTATCGCTTGTGTTATGTCCTGGTGGGGTAGAAAGTCAGTCAGTCAGTAAATGTTATCAGACAATATTTCAGGCGCCGTCTCCACAGTGAAAGTTGGCTGCAATGGTTCTCCAGCACTCTATGTCTCTGACGGACTACTCTTTGTCTGTCTCGTAACGTTATCCTACTACTTGAACCTGTTTCTTCTTCTCTACCACCATGTACCTCATCGAAGTGTCGGGGGAAGATTAACATTCGTTGATGAGCTCTGTGAAGAGCACTATTAAGACTGATATTAATTTCTGTAAGGCTGTTCTTAATGCCATCACTCCATATTTTCCGAGGTCTTCCACACGCTCTATACCGTTGTAACATTTTAGTGTGGCTCGCTGTGGCAGGGCATTCTTGTTAGGTGTCCAAACCACTTCATTTGTTCTTCTTTGATAACTTGTAAGACTGGCTTCTGATAAGATTAACTTTAGTACTCCGGGGTATCTGCTTGTGTGTCAGTGGGGAAGATAGTTGCCCCAATACTTGATTAACTACTTGTATCGTCTACCTTGTCGGCTCTGTGGCTAAGTCGATGCGAACGCTTCGTAGTGCCGGGTTCGATCCCAGCTGCGGGCCATGTGCCTTGTGTTGGTTTCGACAGTGGTATCAGGGGGCTGACCGTCCAGAAAGCAATAGTGTATGATTCTCAATCGGTATTCCCGATGGTTCCAAATGGACAAATGTAGCATGGGTGGATACCAAGTATCAGCATGTAGACATTATGCGGACTCATGTGGACATACTGGAGTGCGAGGGAAAGAAAGAGCAGATTTTATGGCTACAGCACCAATACGTAAGGGAACGTTCGTACTGGACAAATGAGACATTCTGAGGTCCTTTAATGAACGAATGCTGATAGAAAACACAATTTAAGAATGTGTGGGCGAGGGGTTGGGGGTGGACCCAGCAGGGATGGATATTTGAGAAGGAAAGAATGACACTTGTATAATCAGTTTACTAAGACATTTGCTGAGGTAGATGAAGCATCTATGGGTATGTGCAGTGTGTTATGACGTCCATTCTAAAATCAGTATTCAATTTCCTTTGCAGGGCGCGAGACACAAACTACTGGACCATTAAAGTGGGAAACACCAGACGTCTGGCCTACTCGGAACACCGACAAGTGAGGAAAGTCAGAGACTTATACGTTCATCCCAACTTCAGCGTCTCAACAGTGGACAGTGACATCGCTCTGATCCATCTATCGAAGCCTCTGGCCATCAATGATTTTGTGAGACCTATCTGTCTGCCGGACCACATCCCTAAAGTGGGCACTCGGTGTTACGCCACCGGCTGGGGCAAAGCTGTGCATGAGGGTCGGTGTTTGTTGCAAATGTGACATTTTTTCTCTCCTAGGTTCAGCTGTCTAGACTGGTTTTTACTAGCTGTCTGGTAATTGTTCTTTTGTAGTTGTCTGGTGATTGTTCTTTAGTAGCTGTTTCTTAGTAGATGTGTGTGTGTGCAGGAGCACAAGAGTTTGTGAGTGTAAATGAATAGCTGTGATGATGATTTCTTTTTTGGTAGCTGTCTGATGATTGTTCTTTGGTAGCTGTCTGGTGATTGTTCTTTGGTAGCTGTCTGGTGATTATTTTTTAGTAGCTTTCTTTAGTAGTTCTCTGTCTAGTGATTGCTCTTTTGTATGCTGCTGAAGATAGGACTGCACTTATGGAAGTGTCCCAACTGCTGTATTATGTCTCTTGTGTGTTTTTTTGAACAACAGGTTTTAAAGGTAAACAGAATTGCTGTGTGAAAGATGAGTGACAGGGCCTTGAGACCCAATGTGTGTCCCTAGAAATAAATTTTATGTTTTGGTTCTTCCATAAGAGTGTCTAGTCATTATTCTTCTTTAGTCGCTGTCTGTTGATTTTTCTTCTTTAATAGCTGTCTGTTGATTTTTCTTCTTTAATAGCTGTCTGTTGATTTTTTCTTCTTTAATAGCTGTCTGTTGATTTTTCTTCTTTAAAAGCTGTCTGTTGATTTTTCTTCTTTAATAGCTGTCTGTTGATTTTTCTTCTTTAATAGCTGTCTGTTGATTATTCTTCTTTAATAGCTGTCTGTTGATTTTTCTTCTTTAAAAGCTGTCTGTTGATTTCTCTTCTTTAATAGCTGTCTGTTGATTTTTCTTCTTTAATAGCTGTCTGTTGATTTTTCTTCTTTAAAAGCTGTCTGTTGATTTTTCTTCTTTAATAGCTGTCTGTTGATTTTTCTTCTTTAAAAGCTGTCTGTTGATTATTCTTCTTTAATAGCTGTCTGTTGATTTTTCTTCTTTTATGGCTGTCTGTTGATTTTTCTTCTTTAAAAGCTGTCTGTTGATTATTCTTCTTTAATAGCTGTCTGTTGATTTTTCTTCTTTAATAGCTGTCTGTTGATTTTTCTTCTTTTATGGCTGTCTGTTGATTTTTCTTCTTTAAAAGCTGTCTGTTGATTATTCTTCTTTAATAGCTGTCTGTTGATTATTCTTCTTTAATAGCTGTCTGTTGATTTTTTCTTCTTTAATAGCTGTCTGTTGATTTTTCTTCTTTAAAAGCTGTCTGTTGATTATTCTTCTTTAATAGCTGTCTGTTGATTTTTCTTCTTTAATAGCTGTCTGTTGATTTTTCTTCTTTAGTCGCTGTCAGTTGTAATAGCTGTCTGTTGATTATTCTGTTTTATTAGTTGTCTAGTCCTCTGATTTATTTCTATGAATGTCAGTCAAGCCCTCAATCTATTTCTGTGAATGCCAGTCAAGCCCTACAATCTATTTCTATGAATGTCAGTCAAGCCCTCCAGTCTATTTCTATGAATGCCAGTCAAGCCCTCCAGTCTATTTCTGTGAATGTCATTCAAGCCCTCCAATCTATTTCTATGAATGCCAGTCAAGCCCTCCAATCTATTTCTATGAATGTCAGTCAAGCCCTCTAATCTATTTCTATGAATGTCAGTCAAGCCCTAAAATCTATTTCTATGAATGCCAGTCAAGCCCTACAATCTATTTCTATGAATGCCAGTCAAGCCCTACAATCTATTTCTATGAATGCCAGCAAAATTTTTTAACCCTGTTACTACCAAACAACAAACCATGGCTATATTGGTACCTATATACAGAAATATGTTTTTTTTTTCTTTCTGATTTCCCATTATTCTGTTAAATCTTTCTATTCTGTTTATTAGTGCAACACTTCGAGTCCCACAGTTGTGTTTTTCAGTCCCTTTAGACTTACTGTTGCTTTTCAAAAAGAAATTTTAAACCAGTAACTTGGCAGTGAACATGGAAAGAGTTGAATGTATTTCTTCTGGCAGCCCCTGTGTATGAGCCAGTCATGCGGCAGGTGTCTGTGGATGTCACGTCCAGGGAGTACTGTAAACTGGCCATCAGCCGGCCAGAGCTGAGTGTCCCCTACAAGCTGACCCCCAACATGTTCTGTGCAGGTGGAGCATATGCTCATGACTCCTGCCAGGTGAGTTTTGTCAGTGAACTCGTTCTGTATGCAGTACATATGATCACTCAATATGTACACAGTACATTTGGTCACTCAATATGTACACACTACATATGGTCACTCAATATGTACACAGTACACATTATCATTCATGTACACATCACACATAATCACTCAATATGTACACAGCACACGTAATCACTCAATATGTACACAGCACACATGATCACTCAGTATGTACACAGTACACATGATCACTCAGTATGTACACAGTACACATGATCACTCAGTATGTACACAGTACACATGCTCACTCAGTATGTACACAGTACACATGCTCACTCAGTATGTACACAGTACACATGCTCACTCATTCTGTACACAGTACACATGATCACTCATTCTGTACACAGTACACATTTTGAGAGCATGCATTTTTCCTGTAGCAGTATACAGCGTGTCATGGACTATCTTGAGACCATAAGGATACAAATATAGTTTTTTGACTAAGCTGAATGCTATAAAAGTAAAGACAGCCGGCATAATGCTTACCACATAACCCACTGAGTGCCGATTGGTCTGTAAAAATATGGGTGCTTTTCCCATATGCCCGATGCGCCTAAAAGGCGTGAAAAGGGATCTTTACTTACTTTTTACTTAAATGCTATAAAAAGATTCTCATAATACCATGGACAAAGAAGAAAGAAATACAGACATCTTCAAAGATTTCAGCATCAAGGTAGATTGGCTAGTAAACAGCATATTGTCTTTGAAATTTTAACTTTTTGGCCATATCAAGCGCCACAGCAAATAGGGGCCAATAATAGCAGAAGGCCTGGTACCAGGAAAGAGGGGCCTGTGCTGACGAGCACAAAGATGGGCAGAGAAGACACTTTGGGTGAGAAAGTGTACAAGCTGACAGAGTTTGTGAGACTGTGATAAGAAAGAGGTTTTGCAAAAGGATCTGCTAAATAATGATGATGATTTACCATGTTTAGAGTTATGTTGGATAATCATGATCAAGACTGTCAAAATAAGAGACTCATTTATTAATGCTTGTTACGTATCAATCTTCAGGGTGACAGTGGTGGTCCTCTAGTCTGTCGACGGGAGAATGCCACGGATGAGTGGTACCAGGGAGGCATTGTGTCGTGGGGAGTCATCTGTGGCCACCCCAACACACCTGGGGTATACACAAACCTTCCTCTTTACGTCAGCTGGATACGTGAGGTCATCAGTAATTACTCTTACCCTGTCAACTGAAGAGGGCAGGGTCAAACCCTTTTCTGTCTGGTCGTCTCAGAAGTATCTTCATACAAAGCTTATACCGATATAAAATAAACATGAGAATCATCAACTGTGCTTGCATTCTAGACAGCATGAAAATGATGCTATGTGACTGAAAACTATTATATCAGATACACTTCTTTGTGAGCCAGGCTATAGCGATGGGAACTCTTCTGAATGCTGGAACTTCCGGTGTTAATGTTTCATATCTCAAACAATATGGTTTTCACATATCGGGAGTTTGGTTCGGGTTAATTACGTGCTGTGATGATTAGGGATCCGCCAGAGGGGCTAGAATTATTATGTGCATAGTGACACTTATTTTTCACAATTTTCTAGATATATGTCAAGTTATATAATTTATCTACTGAAACTACTTCTCTGTCAACTTGTGTTTAAATTACATAACATTGTACTCAGACCGCTTCAAAGTCTTGTAATGTGTTTAGGGTTACATGACATACACTGCTGAAGCCAATTCATACTCTTCAATATGTGTGTCAAGTTACAAACATTTTCTTACCACAATTCATTAACAGTCTTCTACAAAGTTACACAATGTATCCTAGTGATGGAACTTTGTAGTCTATATGCGTGATGAGTTACAGATAATGTTGCCCACGTGTACTCTTCTGCCTGAGTGTAAAGTTAAATAACTTAGTGGAATCAATTACTAGCTAAGTGTCTGTAAAGCTTTACAATTTAACATATTCATAAAACTTTGTGTCAAATCACCTGATTTGTAACAGAGCAACACACACTTTCAAAACAGCTGTAACATTCTCCTGAACCACACTGCAGGCAACTGTTCATTTATTAAAACAGTGCAGATCACTTAAGGTAAATTTCTGTTGTGAAGAACAATTACCAGCAATTAGCATATCCTTGAAATCTTATCTGCATAAGATGAATATCTGATCAGTAGAGCTACGTATTTTAGGTTCCTGGTGAGTTCTCCTTTTCAGGTCTGCACCTTATACTGGTTACTTACTCCAGGGGATGTAACAACTGCCTGCTGATGGGTGTGGTAAAGAAAAACATGGGTCAAATTTATGTTTTATGAGGGATACATGGGTCAAATTTATGTTTTATGAGGGATACATGGGTCAAATTTATGTTTTATGAGGGATACATGGGTCAAATTTATGTTTTATGATGGCCACGTGGGTAAAGTTTAGGTTTTTATGGGGGCCACTTAGGTCAAATTTATGTTTCTATGAGGGTCACATGGGTCAAATTTATTTGTTATGAGGGCCACATGAGTCATAATTATGTTTTTATGGTGGTCACACATGACAACTACTCAAAATCATGTTATTTTTTTCCATTTTTTGTAATGTGTGAAAAACAAAACAGTGAAAAACAAAACAAAAACCGTATGTTTGATATGCCCACTTTGGACAAAGTAGGTCATTCTGAAGTTTGACTGGAGCAGAAAGGCTTTTAGAAGCTTATGATTGAGTGGGTTATAAATAACAACTATGATTGAGTGGGTTATAAATAACAACTATGATTGAGTGGGTTAGACAATAACAACTATGATTGAAGGGGTTATAAATAACAACTATGATTGAGTGGGTTATAAATAACAACTATGATTGAGTGGGTTAGACAATAACAACTATGATTGAGGGGGTTATAAATAACAACTATGATTGAGTGGGTTAGACAATAACAACTATGATTGAGTGGGTTAGACAATAACAACTATGATTGAGTGGGTTAGACAATAACAATTGTGATTGAGGGGGTTATAAATAACAAGTATGATTGAGTGGGTTAGACAATAACAACTATGATTTTGTTGGTTAGATAATAACAAATATGATTGAGTGGGTTAGATAAAAACATGTATGATTAAGTAGGTTACACAATAACAACTATGATTGAGTGGGTTAGACAATAACAACTATGACTGAGTGGGTTAAATAATAACAACTTTGAGTGTGTCAGATAATACAGTAAAGTTCACTTAATTTGAACTTAGATAAGTTGAATTTCGGTTAAGTCGACATGACCAGCTTAGTCCTGGCAATTTTCTTTATTGTGTGTGCTGTCTGGATAAGTAGAAATCCCGATAAGTGGAAGCTTTTTCTTAGGTCCCTGCGACTTCTACTTATCCAGACTTGACTGTAACAGGTTTCACTAAGGAAAGGGGGGGGGGGGTTATCAGTTTACTTACTGAGACAAACATTCACGTTTCGAACAATGTTAGTCAAACGGTCAACATCTCCTACACTGTATCTCATCACATTAAATGTATTGTTTATGTGTAAACTATATCAATTATGTTTGTATATTTGCTTGTTGTATTTTTCACATGTTATCTGTTTCATACACGTTGTGTGACATGACAAGAATTTGTATCTGTGTTTAATCATGTCCCTAATGATTTACAGAGAAGTGGTTAGTTGAACGGTTAAGAGTGCTGAGTTCTAATGTGGTGGATCTCAGGTCAAATCCCCAGTAAGGTGATGGATTTTTTTCTGTCAGTGAAAAAAAAATCTTAACCAGCACAGTGTTTGGCGACAGCACAAGCGAATGCGGCAATAAATCTTCCAGCTCAAAATCCCCTGGCTAAAATGTGGTAAGTATTACCAGTTACTCTACGCCAGGACTATTCAACTGTTGGTCTATGGGTCTAGCAAGTGGTCTGTGGGCCTAGCAAGTGGTCTGTGCACCTAGCAAGTGGTCTGTGCACCTAGCAAGTGGTCTGTGGGCCTAGCAAGTGGTCCATGGTCCTAGCAAGTGGTCCCTGGGCCTAGCAAGTGGTCTGTGAGCCTAGCAAGTGGTCTGTGGTCCTAGCAAGTGGTCTGTGCACCTAGCAAGTGGTCTGTGGGCCTTGCAAGTAGTCTGTGACCCTAGCAAGTGGTCTGTGGACCTAACGCATAGTCCATGGGCCTAGCAAGTGGTCTGTGGGCCTAGCAAGTGGTATGTGGTCCTAGCAAGTGGTCTGTGGGTCTAGCGAGTAGTCTGTGAGCCTAGCAAGTGGTCTGTGAGCCTAGCAAATGGTCTGTAGTCCTAGCAAATGGTTTGTGGGCCTAGCAAGTGGTCTGTGGGCCTAGCAAGTGGTCTCTGGGCCTAGCAAGTGGTCCCTGGTCCTAGCAAGTGGTCCCTGGGCCTAGCAAGTGGTCTGTGAGCCTAGCAAGTGGTCTGTGAGCCTAGCAAATGGTCTGTAGTCCTAGCAAATGGTTTGTGGGCCTAGCAAGTGGTCTGTGGGCCTAGCAAGTGGTCTCTGGGCCTAGCAAGTGGTCCCTGGTCCTAGCAAGTGGTCCCTGGGCCTAGCAAGTGGTCTGTGAGCCTAGCAAGTGGTCTGTGAGCCTAGCAAGTGGTCTGTGGTCCTAGCAAGTGGTCTGTGGTCCTAGCAATGGTCTGTGACCCTAACAAGTGGTCTGTGGGCCTAGCAAGTGGTCCCTGGTCCTAGCAAGTGGTCCCTGGGCCTAGCAAGTGGTCTGTGAGCCTAGCAAGTGGTCTGTGGTCCTAGCAATGGTCTGTGACCCTAGCAATGGTCTGTGACCCTAACAAGTGGTCTGTGGGCCTAGCAAGTGGTCTGTGACCCTAGCAAGTGGTCTGTGACCCTAGCAATGGTCTGTAAACCTAGCAATGGTCTGTGGGCCTAGCAAATGGTTTGTGGGCCTAGCAAGTGGTCTGTAGGCCTAGCAAGTGATCTGTGAGCCTAGCAAGTGGTCTATGGGCCTAGCAATGCTCTGTGACCCTAGCAAGTGGTCTGTGGGCCTAGCAAGTGGTCTGTGAGCCTAGCAAGTGGTCTGTGAGCCTAGCAAGTGGTCTGTGGGCCTAGCAAGTGGTCTGTGAGCCTAGCAAGTGGTCTGTGGGCCTAGCAAGTGGTCTGTGACCCTAGCAAGTGGTCTGTGGGCCTAGCAAGTGGTCTGTGAGCCTAGCAAGTGGTCTGTGGGCCTAGCAAGTGGTCTGTGACCCTAGCAAGTGGTCTGTGGGCCTAGCAAGTGGTCTGTGACCCTAGCATGTGGTCTGTGGGCCTAGCAAGTGGTCTGTGAGCCTAGCAAGTGGTCTGTGGGCCTAGCAAGTGGTCTGTGGACCTAGCAAGTGGTCTGTGGACCTAGCAAGTGGTCTGTGACCCTAGCAGGTGGTCTGTGGGCCTAGCAAGTGGTCTGTGAGCCTAGCAAGTGGTCCCTGGGCCTAGCAAGTGGTCTGTGAGCCTAGCAAGTGGTCTGTGGTCCTAGCAATGGTCTGTGACCCTAGCAATGGTCTGTGACCCTAACAAGTGGTCTGTGGGCCTAGCAATGGTCTGTGAGCCTAGCAATGGTCTGTGAGCCTAGCAATGGTCTGTAAACCTAGCAATGGTCTGTGGGCCTAGCAAATGGTTTGTGGGCCTAGCAAGTGGTCTGTAGGCCTAGCAAGTGATCTGTGAGCCTAGCAAGTGGTCTATGGGCCTAGCAATGCTCTGTGACCCTAGCAAGTGGTCTGTGGGCCTAGCAAGTGGTCTGTGAGCCTAGCAAGTGGTCTGTGAGCCTAGCAAGTGGTCTGTGGGCCTAGCAAGTGGTCTGTGAGCCTAGCAAGTGGTCTGTGGGCCTAGCAAGTGGTCTGTGACCCTAGCAAGTGGTCTGTGGGCCTAGCAAGTGGTCTGTGAGCCTAGCAAGTGGTCTGTGGGCCTAGCAAGTGGTCTGTGACCCTAGCAAGTGGTCTGTGGGCCTAGCAAGTGGTCTGTGACCCTAGCATGTGGTCTGTGGGCCTAGCAAGTGGTCTGTGAGCCTAGCAAGTGGTCTGTGGGCCTAGCAAGTGGTCTGTGGACCTAGCAAGTGGTCTGTGGACCTAGCAAGTGGTCTGTGACCCTAGCAGGTGGTCTGTGGGCCTAGCAAGTGGTCTGTGAGCCTAGCAAGTGGTCTGTGGTCCTAGCAAGTGTTCTGTGAGCCTAGCAAGTGGTCCATGGGTCTAGCAAGTGGTCCATGGGTCTAGCAAGTGGTCTGTGGGCCTAGCAAGTGGTCTGTGGTCCTAACACG